AACAGACTAAAGCCAATTTTACCATGTTTGAACCTTGAAAAAACACAAAATGGAAGTTTGTGCACAGACGGAGCACCTGCAAACCTTACCCAAGTCGACCTGAAAACCGTGGTCGGATGCACAGTTTACACAAACTCCACGGTTTACTTATGATATGATCTCAATTCCACCAAATCATGGAAATGCTGCATTTATGAATTGATAAATCACTTATGAATTTTCTTCAGGGTATTTATAATCACTCACTTTTCTGAAACACATACTGTAAATGACGCGCTGTAAGCAGATCTAATCTCTAATTTAAATTGTAATAGTGAACGTTATATTTCAAATACAAGTTAATGTTTAGGGCCCTATCATACACCCGGCGCAATGTGGTGCAAGGCGCAGTGCAATAGTCTTTTGCTAGTTTCAGCTTGGCGCAAGAGTGGTTTTGAGGCATTGCGCTACGCTGTTTAAATAGCAAATGCATTTGCGCTCATATGTGCTTCCATAGGCGTTCTGGTCTAAAAAGGAAGGCGTTCTCAGGCGCATTGCTATTTTGCGAAACAAAAATAGATTTTTAATTAGACCAAAACAAACCCGGTCTAAACTCCAGCGCAGAGTTGCACCTCGCTTACACACTGCTTAATACGCACAAGAGAGCAATAGGCAAATCTTTACATATGAAAAAAATTAAATATTAGGGATATAGAATATAATAAGAATAGATATAGGATATAAATATAAAGGATTAAAATATTACAAAACATATTATTTTCTAGCCTACATAAATATGAAAAATCACTGCTTTTATGTCTTCTTCATCTCAGAGGGCTTTTTCAGTTAATTTATAACAATTTGCTTTTGTATAATGTTATTATTATTAGCAGTATTATTTATTATCTCCATATTTATATTTGTTTTATGAAATACAAGCTTAGATTTGCCCACCTGTCAGGTTTTAGACCATATGGGGCACAGCATGTGTATTAGGATATAACTCAGGTTTTCTAACACACTTCGTTATTATTGTTCATTTATTCGTTTGCTGGAAATTAGAACGGAATTTAGAAATAGTTTTGAAACGAATATTTGCGCTTAACAAACGTAATTAATTATTTATAGACTAATTGATGTCTGTGCGTAAAGATTTCCCTATCCAAGAGCGAAAGTGAAAGTAGATCGATTATCTCTCATTCTCATGCAGTAGATGCTCTGTTTAACAGTTTTCTGTAAAAAAAACTGTTAACTGTTTGCTAGTGAAATGCTCAGTTTTTCCACTTAGACTTACTATACGTCCTGTAAATAGCGAATGCGCTTATGGCGCGACACGGCTGGCTGTTAAAGGGAATGGGAGATGAGACTCTAATTGGTTTATTCTCAAAACACACCAATAACTCATTAAGAAAATAAACTCAACCCTTTTAGACCATGCGCCATGGCGCAAAGCGGATTTTCTCGTCTTTAAATTAGCAAAAATGCGTTCTGACACGCCCTGAAAGCGTTTGCGCCCTGCAATTTGCGCTCTGCACATGGACCGTCAAAAAAAAGCCCTTAGATTTGGAGAGAGCGGGGATAGTTGTAACACTTACAATCTCTACAACAAGGAACTAGTTACAAATCAGCTGATTCACTTCACACATGCTCATTTTAGTCCTCATACCACATATGAAAAAGTCCTGTGACAGACACAGCAGATATTAAACAGAAAAACTACACTTCAGCTAAGATTAGCTAATTAATTATTTTTAAGATATCATTCCCTGATTTGTAGTTAAACCCATGTAATCTGTGTGTCTGATTGTGGATATACTTAATCCACATTGTTGGTGATAATGTTTTAGCTGTTAGCTGTAGGAGAACAGATTCATGGCCACATAATGCTGGGTCAGTTGAAACAACAAAAGCTAGTAACTTGCTAGTCACATCAGTGAAATGTTACCACCAACCCCAAGCAGATTTAAAACTGTATTTATATGATTTAATTTCAGTATTGCTATAGCTTATAAAAGAGAAAGTCAAAAGTAGTTTGAGTTCAGTGTTTGACCTCTGTGGGCTCATGAAGCCTGCAAACACAAATAGTGTTCAATTGTTGAAGCTGATGCACATTTGCACATTTCATTCAGCTTTGTAACACAGAGACACACAAACTATACTGAAAGCTCAATGCTGAATAAAAAGCTTTCAAATCCATTTTTATGTCATAATTCTCATTTTATGATGTTACAACTAACCCAGACTGTGGGCTGAATTGTAACATTTCACTCCTCCTGTTTGAGGGCTTACTCACACTATTTACAGTTGCCTTGAACCGGGCCGAAGCACATTTGTCCCCCCTCCCGTCTCACCTGACGGCCCGCACTCACATCGCATTTGGGACTGAGCATGCTTACGTCATCAATGATGCACAGTTCAGTAAGAAGCGCTCTCACTCAGCACAGTGGAAATTTCTTTAGTTATATCGTTTTCAAGAGTTCACACTTAGCTGATGACTGATTATAAGCAAGTTTAGCATGCTGTCCCGGGAGAGAGACCTGAGCTCAAAAGGTCCTTGAGCCCTGGGCTCCCTCCCGTTTGCCTCAGGTAGATCTCGACAACTCCCCCCATGATATGAGCTGATGACTAAAATAAATGCTATGAAGAGATATGCTGCTGAATGAGAGTTTGACTGTAGTGCTAAATTTAGATTGATCAATTCACTTGTAGTACATGTTTTTGGAATGTGGGAGGAAACCGGAGAACCCAGGGAAAACCCATGCGAGCACGGGAAGAACATGCAAACTATGCACAGAAATGACAGTCAGCCTGTTAAAGGACTAGAACCGGTGACGCTCTTGCTGTGAGGCTGCATTGCTACCCACTGGGCCACCGTGCCACCCTATGAAGGGAAAGCTGGAGAGGTAGGGGTGGAAGGGGTGACACGCAGTTAATTATTTCGCTGAACAGATCAGCCACTTTTGACGCTCATAAACAATTATAAAGTCATCGCGCTGCAGGAATTAAGAGGTTTGCTACAGGTGCAGCTGTCATGCAGTGAGGTGTTTGCGTCTTTAATAATCTACGACAGTTTGCATTCATTGAACAGTATGAATGATTAATAAATCCATATAAAACAGTTCCTTAAATGTCACGTCTCGTCTTCAGTTTCCAGCCCAAGTGAATCGCGCGCTGGCACACCTCTTTCAACCAGGCAAGGGCCGGCCAAGTGAACCGCACCTGAGCCAGATTCGGAGCACTCACACTTCTCAAACGATATGGGCCTGGGCACGGTACTGATAGCATAGTGTGAGTACGCCCTGAAACTAAAAAGTTTCACATTTACTGTTTACGCTGCAAAAATTACTTATTTGGCCATTTAATAGCAGACACTTGTAACTCAAGATCTCAAAGATATATAGAGAAATATAATAGAAGTACAACTATCCCCGGTCTCCCCCATACAAATATATCATAGGTACATACAACTTATATTTCAAAATGTATCAAAAATTATTTATAATACTTATGCTCTTGTGAGTGTCTCTCTTCCGCCTGTTGAGAATTCATTATCTACAATGTAAATAACAGCCACAGACAAAACATCTATTTAACAATCTATGCCCACCACCACCCCCTTCCACTTGGAAGGACATCTATCCATGCACCCATACTTCTGCATTAAAAGGATATTCTTGACCATCAGTGTCCAGTCACCACTGAGGTGTGTGATTCCTATTGGTCTCCACATGCTCCACTCCAGTCTGTAAAAGACAAAGACACGACTAACAGAGCTCTACATGCTTGCTGAACTCCAGCAATGCACAAGCTGCTCTCCAGCGTTCTTCAGATAAATCTCCACTGATGCTCTTGTGAGTCTCCTTCTTCTGTTTGTTGTGTGTCCATTACCTGAAAAAGAAACACCTGCGGCAGACAAGACATCTATCTAACTATTTACTGTATCTGAAGGAAATACCCAATCATCACTTAGTCTTTACAAATTAAAGTATATAATTTAAAAATGTTTTATTAAGTTAATTTGATTCAACTAAAAATGTAAGTCTACCTAATTTATTACGATGTACTTGTCAATACTGATGTGTGGTTCGCTGTTTCTCCACATGCTCCATGCCAACCTGTCAAAGAGAAAGATATCAGGTCTTTAATCTCAATATATTTCTTTGGAAACAAACTCCATTGTTTAGTCTGTTCAAGCAGTTCTACCTGTTTCCTGAGCTCCAGATTTTCAAGTATATTTCCACTGTTCCTGTGACTCTTCTACTTCTGCTCCACTCCAACCTACAAATGACAAAAGCTGCGTCCCAAAAGGCACGCTATACACTATGAACTTATACACTATGTACTTATGCACTTACACACTCAACAGCATAGTATATGAATGTAGTGTCCCAAATAGAACACAATCGGTTATTTACTAACCGCAAATTCAGCTGTCGTGCATTGAGAAGTTTGCGTATTTAATAAACTACGGCAGTTTGCGTTCAATGAACAGTAAGAATGATTAATAAATCCATATGAAACAGTCCCTTAAAAGTCACGTGTCGCTTTCAGTTTCGGGCCCAAGTGAACCGCACTCAGACCCACCTCTTCCAACCGGGCCAGGGCCGGCCAAGTGAACCGTGCTTGAGCCTGATTCAGCGCACTCACACTTCTCAAACGATCCGGGAAACGGGCCTGGGCACGGTACGGATGGCATAGTGTGAGTAGGCCCTTAGTGAAACAAATGACCAAACTGTCAAATAATACTTGCCATGAGTATAATCACTTTCACCATCAGGAAGCAGCATAATCACTCTTGTTGGAGAATTTTTCTCTCATAATCCAAAATAAAGTAATCAAACTTAAGCTCCTGATAGCTCCACTGATGCTCTTGTGAGTCTCCCTCTTCTGCCTGCTCTCTCTCCATTACCTGAAAAAGAAAAACCTGACAAAGACAAGGCCTAATTACTATCTACAACAACCAGCACTCCTTCATCTTGGAAGGACGTCCATCGATTCACACGTCCACCTAATTTAAAAAAAAATTAAATTCCTGACCATCCAGTCATTGCTGAGGTGTGTGATTCCTTCTTTTCTCCATGTGGTGCCATCTGATCTGTAAAATACAATAGAAAGATGTCAAGTCATTCATTAATCTAATACCATTCTTTGGAAGTTTCATCTACCATTGTCTCCAGTCTGGTTCTGTTCTAAAACTAACAAATAATATTTCACACCTATAAGTAAATACTCTACTAGATGACAATCTATAAACTTAGAAGAGATAAATGTGCTACAATAATTAGTAAAACTGTAAATAAAACAAATAACAATCAAAAGCTACAAATGTTGAACAGGCCGACAGCATAAATTACTAATAAATAATACAACAGCCAGACAATCTATCTGACAACAGACGTGCAGTAATATTCAATGTGGTAACTCTGACAGCATACAAATAAATTAGAACAGATCAATTTATCCGATCATATAACAAATAACAATCTGCAAATGTTAAGTTAGATAGCGATATACAAATGAAGCATACAAACAAAAATATTGTATCTATTTCTGTCTATCTGAAGGAAATATCTGACAACCACTTACTGCCCCATTAAGACCAGGTTTTCCACTCACTGAAGCACCACAAGCACATCTCCTGTGAGTTCCAGTGTCTCTCCTAGTGAGGTGTCTCCTGGTTCCTCGTTTAGTCTTCATCCTGTTTGCTGTCTGTGGTATCCGTCTCCAGTCTCCAAGCCTGCATAATCAAATATCCAATTCAGGTTAATGGACTTATTATCTGCATCAATAAACTCACCTGCTTATACTCACCTGACGTCCTGTTATATTACTGAACTGAATGTCGTCCCTTCTGTGACACTTACTCTGTAAAAATGTAATTGTATAAGTTTAAAATGTTTTATAAAGTTCAGTTGACTCAACTTAAAGTTTAAGGCTGTACCTAATTTATTACGATGCACTTGTCATTACAGTGTGTTTCCCTGTTCCTTCACATGCTCCATGCCAACCTGTCAAAGAGAAAGATATCAGGTCTTTAACTAATTTTAATACATTTCTTTTGAAACTAACTCCATTGTTTAGTCTGTTCAAGCAGCACTACCTGCTTCATGAGCTCCAGGTCTTCAAGTATATCTCCACCGTTCTCCTTCTTCTGCTCCACTCCAATCTGCAAATAAACAAAGACAGCCCCAACAAAACCCCAACTGCTGTTCTCCAGCATTTTTTAGAGAAATCTCCACCGATGCTCTTGTGAGTCTCCCTCTTTTGCCTGCTCTCCAATACCTGAAAAAAGGAAAAACCTGACACAGACAAGGCCTAACCACCCATCTATACCAGTGGTTCTCAAAGTGTTGTACGCGGGTTTCCTTCTAGTGGTATGCAGAGAAATCACTGAATAATAATTAAAAATATATGAACGCCCTTTTACCCTTTGATGCAAACGATAACAGATGTGATCAGCATTGGCTGTTCCCTGTTCTGTACGATCACACTGTTATGATTAGTATGTTTAGTGCATCATGTCATCAGATGCTAAGAATCTAAAAAAAACTGTGGAGGGCTTAAGCAGATACATGTTAGAGAGGTGCTTTTACAGACAAGTCCTGTTGGCATTTCAGTTACTTCAGTGCAAACTCAGGAGAATTATTGGTAAAATAATTATCACTAATGTGTTAACATGTGTTAGTAGTTGTGTAAAAAAATCCATTTATGATTTATAGCCTGAAGTCATTTGTTATGTAAATAGTTTAGCGGTGTGGCTTTCGATTTAGTTTGTTGCCTCAGATTTAAATTAATCTGGATGTGATTCAAATGGTGCGGAACCTTACCCGAGTCGGCCTGAAAACGGTGGTCAGTTGCACAGTTTACACAAACTCTATGGGCTCTATTTTGACAGTCCATGCGCAGAGCGCAAAACCCAGGGTGCAAACGCTTTCAGGGTGTGTCAGAATGCATCTTTGCTAATTTAAGGACAGAAAAATCTGCTTTGCGCCGTGGCGCATGGTCTAAAAGGTTTGAGTTTATTTTCTTATTGAGTTATAGATGTGTTTTAAGAATAAACCAATCAGAGTCTCATCTCCCATTCCCTTTAAGAGCCAGCTGCGTCGTGCCATAAGCGCATTCGCTATTTACAGGATGTAAAGTAAGTCTAAGTGGAAAAACTCAGCATTTTACAAGCAAACAGTTAAAAGTTTTTTTTAACAGAAAACTGTTAAACAGAGCATTTACTGCGTGAGAATGAGAGATAATCGATCTACTTTCACTTTCGCTCTTAGATAGGGAAACCTTTATGCACACACATTAATTAGCCTATAAATAATTAATTTTGTTTGTTAAGCGCAAATATTCGTTTCAAAACTATTTCTAAATTCAGTTCTAATTTCTAGCAAACGAATAAATGAACAATAACAACAAAGTGTGCTTAAAAACCTGAGTTGTATCCTAATACACATGCTGTGCCCCATATGGTCTAAAACCTGCAGGTGGGCAAATCTAAGCTTGTTTTTAATAAAACAAATATAAATATGGAGATAATAAATAATACTGCTAATAATAATAACATTATACAAAAGCAAATTATTATGAATGAACTGAAAAAGCCTCCCGAGATGAAGAAGAAATAAAAGCAGTGATTTTTCATATTTATTTATGCTAGAAAATAACATGATTTGTAATATTTTAATCCTTTATACTTATTTCCTATATTTATATTCTTATTATATCCTATATATATCCTTAATATTTAAATTTTTTCATATGTAAAGATATTTGCGTATTGCTCTACATCTTGTGTGTAGGCTATTAAGCAGTCTGTAAGCGAGGCGCAACTCTGTGCTGGAGTTTAGACCGGGTTTGTTTTGGTCTAATGAAAAATCTATTATAGTTTCTCAAAATAGCAACGTGCCAGCAGTGCGCCTCAGAACACTTTCCTTTTCAGACCAGAACGCCTATGGACGCACATATAAGTGCAAATGCATTTGCTATTTAAACAACGTGGTGCAAAACAGCAAAACAACACTTGCGTCAAGGTGAAACTAGAAAATAACATTTGCGCCGCGCCTTGCGCTGCATTGCGCCGGGTGTATGATAGGGCCCTATGTTTTACTTAAGATATGATCTCACTTCCACCAAATTATGGAAATGCTGAATCTATGAATTGATACATCACGCATGAATTGGTCAAACAGTGTATTTATAATCACTAGGGATGCACCGATTCCAATACCAGTATCGGGGCGACACTTAAAATACTCATACTCATATCGTACATAAAAAGGCAGATACCACGCACAGATCCCACTCAACAGTAATTTACTACATGGATGTGATTTGTTATCCTACCTGACCATTGTCTTAATAATTAGCCTAATGTATTATATATTTATAGCTTAGTCCTTATAAACAATCCTTTTAAAAATACATTATTAATGAATCTATCGGCTACTGAAGAATAAACCGAACATGAAATATGATCCTTGCATAATGATCACAGCAAAACAAGCTAGCACTCATGTTAATATAAACTATAAATAAAAAAAACGAAAGAAATTTTAAGTAATGGAACATTATGTAAAAAATCTAAAGACTACAGGGTAAATAAAAGCACCTCATCAGAGCTGAACATTACTGCGGTCACTGCGCCCGTCTCAGTTTACAGCTTCTGTAAAGATCAGACAGCCTATACAGATCACACAATCTCAATAAATACCATGTAAGTGTATAAATATTTTGATAAGTATTGTTAATAGAATATTTATAATGATATGATTTTGCTTGTGATTATATCGATACTTGCACTGAGCTCTCACGGGCACGCTCTCTCTCACCAGTGACAGTTGACATGCGCCGCATAAGGGCGCTATACATACACACCACGCAGCATACACTGGCAAGATGACAAGTGCTGAACTCCAAGGGACCAGTTTTACTTGTTGTCCGATTTGTGTGTTGTTCCTTTTTTAAAAAGGCCTTTTATTTTTAAAATCTCTCAAGTTAATAATGGCTATCGGGTCACATAATCTCCCTCAGAGATATTTGAGCTCAATAACGTGGTGCGCAGTATGACTATTGACCAACATCGCCCTGTAAGTGTAGGCCTACAGCTCTGGTGTGTTATGAATTGCATGTTTTAAATGACAGCGAGACATGCTACATATAGTTTTTCATGTAAAATATACATTCTAACTAGGGATGCTCATTTTGGTTAATTTTGCTAACCGACAACTGGCGCTCAATAATCGGTTATTAACGGTTAACTGGTCAGATTACTATTAATTTTATATTAAACAAATTGACATGTCTATTTTGTGTCTGACACTTTAAATATTGCATAAAATACTAATTTATTTTTATATGCTAGCATATTAATAATAGAACAATACAACAGAGCATTTTCACGTACCTGCAGTGTTTAGCACAGAAGAACAGAATAATCTAAATAAAATGAATAAAATAAATAGGACTGCCCTAAATTATTTTGCACTTAAATAAGTAATTTATATTACTAATCGAAAACACTGACTGATTTTTTTCCAATCATATTTTTGTCTTCCGTCAAATAAAATAGCTGACTTCCTCAAATAGCTCGCTCCACGGAAAATATGCATTTAGTTAATGCCCCGCTGTTATTATTATAATCACAAAACCTTTTTACATTTTTAATAGAAATCATTATTTTAAAGATTATGTCTTGCTATGGTTTCCTTTCTCTCCATCGCGGCTCAAGTGCGCGCGCTGCGTGATGAAAAGACAACAACAACGCGCGCATATGTTGACTTTTTGTAAACAGTTTTTTGTTTAAATATGATATTGCATTAATGTGCATACATGCTTTATATGCTGTAAAATAAAAGGTAAAGCCTATTTGTTGCGTTTATGATGCAGATCCAGGTCAACATCAGCGCTTTTTTTGGCATCAACACGTCTGTTTGAAGCAATATTCTTCTTCCATTTTGCTTCTTTGGCAAATGTGTCTGTAGGCACGGGTTATACATTATCGTCTCGCAAGTTAAGTATGTCTTGCAGTTGAACAAGTGGCCAAGCACAGCTAACGTGCTTTTTTCATTCCAAAAACGCGAGGCGCACCTCACTGCCTTTATGTTGACAAGGAAAAAAGAAGAGAAGAAGCGCGGTCCTCTTATGAAACGACTGAATCAGCTGGGTATCAATTGTGCAAAAGTGTTGCTGTCTATGTTGATAAAATTGTAATATTTAATAATATTATGATATTCAAGATTTGTACATTCATACAGCTCTGGATAACTTAAAACAGCGATTAGACCTTCAGAGCGGTGTTAATGCGTCCTGAAGTAAAGCGAAACGGCCATAAACGCCAGCAAGATAGAGTGATTATATGTAGAGTCATACTTTATCTATAAATAAAGTATAACTATAGAAACTGTTCATCTTAACTGAAAGCTTCTGCGTGTTTGCTGGCCTCACGCATCGCGCACCTGTCAGTCATTCAGTCAGTCAGCACGTAACCCCAAAGGATTAAACAATAGCGCACAGCACTATATGGTTACAAAAAAGTTTGCGCTGTTATAATCCACTTACCTTTTAATACGTTTTGTTGTGATTATAATCCGCTATTAAAAACAACAACAACAATAACTGAATGTTTTGAATGGGTAATGTAGCCGTGGCGGGATGCATTTTGGTCCCCGCCATGGAAGAATGAATGTAGCGGAAACCAAGCTCTTTAAAAGTTCTCTGTAGTTGTCTTGACAACACAAACTGCTGCTCTGGGATGAGCCGCGTGCAAAAGATGCCCCTCTTAACGCAAAGGCGCATTCAATCGGCCGCTTATGCAGCCAAACTAAAAATATATAAAATAATAATTTTAATCGTTTAACTGATAGCATTAATCGGTCACAAACGCACCCTTTCGGTTAACGGTTAATCGATTATTTTGAGCATCCCTAATTCTAACCCAGTACACAATAAAATAATATTTTTTGA